AGCTTCTCATAGAATTGTCCTTCACCAGAGAACTCACTTTCTCAGTCATACACAGATGCTGAATACAGACAATTCATGAATGTGTTGAAGGTACTGCCAGGCCTTGTGCAGTAGGTGGAATCCACCTCACTGCCCACATGTACTCAGTCAAAGGTAATCAGCACTCACAAGGTATGTGGGTGGCTGCCGAGTTTGAAGTCCTTATATAATTAACCATATAATTCTTATTAGCCCCATAAGAATAGGCATATCATCATCTTCATTATATGTGTGTGTGTGTGTGTGTGTAGAAGACAAGGTACAAAAAAGATAAGATAAATTACCAGGTATCAGAGGCATTCTACAAACCCAGATTGAGTGTCTCACAGCTGGTATTCTGTTTTGCTCTTATTTTAACAATTCTGCTTCAGGTTATTCTGGATCCAGTATGAATGGCCATGACCAGGAAACATGAGTTCAGGTTACTGTGACTATTTTCTATCTTGGAAGTGGTTACGCAAACTTTTATAGTTACAAAACAAAAAAGGGAAAGTCATAAATTAGCATAGATATCATTTACATTGGTAGGAAACATCAGGCAAGTAGGCCACAATAAATTGGGGAAATTTCCTCTGTAGGTTTTAGATGTTATAGTATACTTGGCTTTTCGGTTAGTTGAGGCTAGAGCTCTACTAAACTTAAACATTCTGAGAAGTTTTAAATGTATGTCATAGTCAGGAGACTATTAGGGCAGATATAGAAATTAGGACAGTTGGCTGAAAGGGACTTGTAACATCCGTAGATTTTTGGTTATAGACTGCAACGTTTCATCTCCATAGTTAGGTTAGTCAGACAAGTACTACTCTGTGGGCTGTGTAATATAGATGCAGCATCTTCAGAGGATGTCATTTCACACTGTTATATCATCTCCACTGATGGTATCCAGTGTGTCTGGGTTCAAGTCCCCATTCTACCACTCTAGTTGTGTGATGGTGAACACTTTACTTCATCATCTAGAGAAATAAACAATGGTCTGCTTAGATCAAAAGGCTGTTAAAATAACTCCATCTGAATAATCAATACATGAAGTTTTCTTTTTAAATTTTATTAAAGGCTTTATTAATGCTTTGATCTGAAGCAAATTTAAATTTTATACACCCACTCTAGTGAAATAAAAAGATAAGAAGAGTAGGCAAAGGCTGGGGTTATGGAATACACATCTTCCTTAGTTCCTTGGCCCATGCCTTCAAATTCTTCCTATAACAAGGTAAGGAGGACAAGTGGAATAATTTCTTGGGCCACAAGAGAAAGTGGTGCTTTTGTCTGTTTTTGAGGTAAGGAGCTAGGGCTGGAGAGATGGCTCAGTGGTTAAGAGCACTTGCTATTCTTGGAGAGAGCCTGGGTTCAGTTCCCAGCACCTGATAGCTATAGTATGGTTTAAAACTATCTGTAACTCCATTTCCAGTTATGTATATCAGACACCCTGTTTTGCTTTCTGAGGACAATAGCTATATAGATTGCTCACATACATATATGCAGGCAAAATGTTCATAAAATAAAATTTTAAACATGAGACTCAATTTTGAAAACTAATTTTAAAGATGAGAAAGCCAAGAAGGGCATGGTAGTGCATACCTTTAATCCCAGCACTCAGTACGCAGAGCCAGGTGGATGTCTGAGTTCAAGGATAGCTTGGTCTACAAAGTGAGTTCCAAGACAATCTAGGGCTACACAGAGAAACCCTCTCAAAAAAAAAGAAGCAGCTAAGAAAGCCAAGTGGTTACTCTAACATAAGCAGATAAGCAGGTTTACTATATATAATAAGGAGGGTGGTTTATTTGAGAGAATGTCCTTGTTACGGAATACTTAGGTAGCTAATGAAAAGGGAAATCATGTCTCTGCCTTATTTTCAGATGATTCAGGAAAAGATACGCAAGAGAAAAGTAAATGTGCTGAAACTCTAGTCAGGAAATATGGCTCAGGATAAGTAGGAAAAAACTGTAACTCTTCTGTTATTACTGAAATTATTTCAAGATAGGAAGTTATTTTTAGAAAAGTATATTTAAAAGTATCTTTCCCTAAGGCTCCCCCACAGAATTTGTAATATATGAATCACTTTGCAGAAGTATATTGTTACTATGTAAAGGTGGAGGTTAATTTGGTGACTCTGATTAAGAGCTGTTTTTCTTTGACAAGAATTTAAAAGGACGTGAGTATTCTGTGCCATTGTTTCCATAACAACTCCAGCCTTTGCCTACTTGTCTTACCTTTTTATTTCACTAGAATGGTGTATAAAATTTAAATTTGTTTTAGATCAAAGCATTAACAAAGGCTTTAATCAAATTTAAAAAGAAGAAAACTTAAGTGTATTGATTATTCAGATGGAATTATTTTAACAGCCTTTTGAATCTAAGCAGAAGACCATTTTTTTATTCCTTAGATCTCTTAGGTCATTTGTATTTGTATAATGAAATTTTTGTTTTCAGTATATTTATATGCCTTTGTTGTCACTGTAACTGAAAGATACAGTCCTAATTTACCATTCAGTTACTTTAGAAACTAAGTTATCTGATGGCCAAGCTAGTGTTGTTTTGAGAGGCCTTGTTTTTCATCCAAAAGAAAGTCTTCCTGAGAAAAGATTATGGAGGTGTCTGATTTGTGTTTGACATTTATGCCCAGTTTTATTTAATCATGACAACAACCCAGCGTGCTAAGATAGTGGTCTCTTCTCTGTGACTTAGATATGGTTTGTTTCTCCTGAAAGTTAATGTGTTAGAAACTTGTTCCATTTTGGCAATATATATGATAAAACCTTTAAGCCAGTGAAGCCTTGAGGGAAGTCCTTGGGTCACAGAGCTATTCTCAGAAAAGTTAAAGTAGGTCTCACAGGACTCCTGGAGCTCTCTAAAGAGCATTATGAAGGAGCCCAGCTGAGTCCCTCTGGCTTTCTGCAATACTGTGTGCTTTCTCTTATACAATTACCTCTATAGTAAGTAAGCAAGGCTACTTACTATGAGATCCTCTGGAGGGCTGACCTGTGCCATACCAGTGAACCCTGAAAACATCTAAGTAAACCCCTTTTCTTCACAAAAATTCTGCTCCAGACATTTTTTGATTGTAACGAACATGAACTAATATATTCTCTTTATAAGTAAATCCTGCAAGCCAAATGTGACAGCATATACGTTTAGTCCCAGCACTGGAGGCGGAACTCTGTGAGTTTGAGGTCAGCCCCTGCGTCTGCATGGGACATGCCCAGCTTTAAATATCTTTAAAGATTTTATTTAATGTGTATAGGTGCTTTTGCCTGCACATAGGTCTGTGTACAACATTTCTACATTGTCTGCAGAGGCCAAAAGGAGACATTAGGTCTCCTGGAACTAGCTACAGACAGTTGTGAGCCACATATGGGTGCTAGGAGTCAAACCCTGGTCCTCTGGAAAAAGTAGCCAGTGCTCTTAACCATGAAGTCAACTCTTCAGCCTCCTTAATATTTTTGATGCAATATTGCTTGAAAGAAGTCCAATTTTAATACCATAAAAAATAGTTTCAGGGGCTAGAGAGATGGCTCATTGGTTAAGAGCACTGACCACTCTTTTAGAGGTCCTGTGTTCAATTCCCGGCAACCACATTATGGCTCACAACTATCTGTAATGGGATCCAGTGCCCTCTTCTGGTGTGTCTGAAGACAATTACAGTGTATTTATATACATAAAATAAAGTTCCAAAGCCCATCTAATGACAGATTTTTCCTACTGAATTTGAGAAAAGCAACAATCAAGAATCCATTCACAATATATGATTATGTTTACCATGTCTCAACTTTGATACAAGTCTCAATTTTATATTAAACTATAAACAAATACAAATTCTGACTCAATTCTTAATTTTTTTAAGATTTTATTTTTTATGTATGTGAATACATACTGTTTAGCTGTTTTCAGACGGACCAAAAAAGGGCATCGGATCCCATTACGGATGGTTGTGAGCCACCACGTGGTGGTTGGGAATTGAACTCAAGACCTCTGGAAGAGCAGTTAGTGCTCATAACCACTGAGCCATCTTTCCAGCTCCCCTCAATTTTTAATTTTATATTAAAGTATAAGCAAATACAAATTCTAACAGTAGTTCTAGATAGTATGATTAGGAATGGTTTTCTTTTTATTTCTTTTTATTTTGTTTCTTTAATTCCAGAATTTCTACTATAGGTGTGATCCCTTTAAAAACCATATTGAATACACTTTTTAATGTTCTTAGATATTTTTGTTTTATTGTTTGGCAATTTCACACATGTATGTATATATTTTTATATTTGATATGTATATTTTGACCCTCTTCCCACTTCCCCCAGGACCTTCGTACTCCCTTACCTCTCACATCTTCATCTTCTCTTCTTTTTTGATAGACTTTTATTCTTTGAGAATTTTATACTTGTGTATCATGTATTTTGATCACATTCTCTCCCAAACTCCCTCCTCCAATTTTCCCAGACCCTCCCCAACACATCCTCTCTCTCAATTTCATGTCATCTTTCCTAATCTTTAATAACTCACTGAGTCCAATTAGTGTCTACATAAATGTGTGGGTATGGGACTATCCCCTGGAGCATGGGCAGACAGACTACCGATGGTGACAACACACCCAGAGAAAAATAGCTCTCTCTTCCCCCACCCAGGAGCCCACAGCTCCTCAGCCAGACTGCCCCAGAACACGATCCTCTCCTTACTCCGTCGTTATCTCCTCTTCCTCTTCCTTGTAAGAAACAACACACATGGTCCAGTTAGTGTTGCCTGCATGCACACGGGTGTGAGGCTGTACATGGGAGTATGCTCATACTTTTTGTTGTTTTTTATGCCTACATTAAGTCATCATAATCTGAAAGTATATTGTTAGTATTGACTTCATCTCTCATTTATCTGTAATTATGGTCACAATGATTTAAAAGTCAGGACTGACTGTGATGTTCTCATGTATATTACTGTTATCTCAATGTTTTCTTTCTTTTTAATCCTTTATCAAAGGTTGAATTAATAAAAGGGAATTTACAAAGTGTTGGACTTACACTTCGTCTTGTTCAGTCAACTGATGGGTATGCTGGGCATGTCATCATCGAAACCGTGGCCCCAAACTCACCTGCTGCGATTGCAGATCTTCAACGGGGAGATCGGCTCATTGCTATTGGAGGTAATTACACACTGGGTAGTATAACTTATGTGTACAGAAAAACTACAAAATTGGTTGGAGAGGTTTTTTTCTCTCTTCTCCCTGTTTCTGAATAAGCATTTGTTAGTTTTATAACCAAAAATCTTGATTATAAAGAAAATTGTAAAAGAGGTCTTAGCATGCTTGTAAAAAACAAGGACCAGATTAGTCCTGATCTTTAAACATATCTAATCTTTAAACCACTTCACTAGAATTTTCTAATTTCCTTTCCCTTCCCACCTTCTCCTCTCTGTATTATTAAATACAAAATTAAGACCCAGATAATAGTGCCTTCCTATATGTCCATTACCACCTGGCCCTAAGTGTGCTAATGTAAGCACTGCTCTAATCATGTTGTAGTTCTAGAGATGAACAGGAGAGGGACAAATAGTCCTTGCCTGAGAGGGAGGATACACCTAACCCTATTCTGAGGCTCCATATTATGTGAAAGGCCTGTGCTTTGCCATTATGCTGTTATGCAGAATCCAACCCAAATCTCTATGGTAAATACTGCATACCTTCCTGTCAGCTGGATTGTTGTAAGTAATAAAAATAAAACTGAGTTATCTGCTTGAGTATATATACATAATAGCAAGACTCAACTGTACATAGCAGCACAGAAATAATCCAAGCCCTTTTTAGATGTCATAGTACCTGGCCCACCTGATGTGGGCCATAAAACTGGCTATAATTTTTTTTTTTTAAGATTTATTTATTTTACTTATGAGTACACTGTAGCTATCTTCAGACACATCAGAAGAGGGCATCGAATCTCATTACAGATGGTTGTGAGCCATCATGTGGTTGCTGGGATTTGAACTCAGGACCTCTGGAAGAGCAGTCAGTGCTCTTAACCACTGAGCCATCTCTCCAGCCCAAAACTGGCTATAATTAATCTTAATCTTTTCAGAATAGTATGTGTTCTTTTACAGTTAAGACAATAAGGTAAAGCAGTCCCCCTAAAAAGGAGTTATCACGCATTATGTTAGACTCTGCTTTTGATTCAAATCCATCTTAACATTAAGATAATTAAAATGATTAGTTAAGCAGCTGGAGTTAAATTAGCATTTTCATGTGGAAATCTGATTGTGGTATACACAGAACCATTCATTCCATGGTCACCCTGCAAAAATGTTCAAAAAGTCATTCTGATTTAGAAAAACTGGGATGAATTCTAAGAGTTTGCTTCCCTTCCCTTCCCTTCCCTTCCCTTCCCTTCCCTTCCCTTCCCTTCCCTTCCCTTCCCTTCCCTTCCCTTCCCTTCCCTTCCCTTCCCTTCCCTTCCCTTCCCTTCCCTTCCCTTCCCTTCCCT